TTGTATTTGCACGCGGATCACTTTACAAAAAAAGTTTATTTAAAATTCAAATCTAATCAAGAAAAACCACATTATTTTTGTACAAGGCTAAAACAAAAAAACAATTTACTAAGTTCCCTGTTTATATCTAAATGTTAAATTTTTTATTTCCGGTAAAACTGGTTAGAATAGATTTTTTTGAAAAACACATAAATAACAATTTCTCGTATTTATGGCAATCTCAAACACGACACTAACGTCTTTGGAAAAACTACCGTCAATGACCTTTTTTAGAAATCTATACCTACGTTATTCGCACAAAAGCGGATACGACCTTCGCTTTATGGGTGGTAAAAACTAGTACAAAATTTAAAATTCATCATTACTTGACCATTTCGAGAAAAGTAGACGCTTTCAGTACTGAAATTTTATAAAAACAGTTAATTTTTTTATAAAAACGTGTTTTATTCACCCTCTTCCTTCCTTATCACTTCAAAGGTGAGAATTTAAAATATCATCGTAAGAACGTTTTGTTTTTCATTTCCCCAATAACCCCATAAGCCCCAATTCCAGGGGACTGCGGCTCAAGAGTATGAGAATTTCCATGGAAACTGATTATCTTGATTGTTTTGGGAATATCAAAATTGAATTTTAATCATGCGACTCTCAGATAAGCTTTATTGTCATGTACATTTAGGTCATAATTACTTCGGTGCCTGTAAATGATCCTGATACAATTGAACGAGCGAGACAAAACAAAACAAACTTATTGTAATCAATTGATCACAAAAACACGAGTACATGACTCTTGTAAGAGCAGCCTAAGTATTTGGAACCGATTTTTGTTTGCTCTCATCATAGCGTTTTCTGTAAGATTAGTGACCGTTTTAATTAGCGTAGTACTGAGACGGACGAAAGGGTGGAGTGTTTATAAGCTGGAAGTGCCTGAGTCGTATATGTTGGGTCAGGTTGGTCTTGATCTTGCACATCTTCGGGCAGAATGGACACTGGAACTGCGGTTCCTTACCGCACTCATACCGGACGTGTCGCCACAGGCCGTGCTTGTACCGGTAGCTCTTAGTACACTTATCGCACTTGAAAGCTGATGGTTTTTGTAGGTGGTCGTGGCCGGTTTGTGGTGACCAGCCTGCCACCAGATACCGCATTTTGGTGCCTGAAAACATAAAACACACATACCTCCAATTAGAAATTAAGCGACACCGTACATCTAACTACAAACTATTACTATCATCTATGGGATGTAATAATAATATTATGATATTCGTAGTGTAGCATGCACATCGCGTACACACCATACACAAGGCATCTGTAGACTTAAAACAAAATTCTACCGTGTGTGTGCAACGTTCAACAACATGCAGTCCAAATACGAAACGAGTGCGTTTTACAGGCGACTATGACGCCCGATGACCGCACTCGGGTAGCACGCAGTTCTACTGTTTGGTATTTGGCACGATGGAAATCTGTAATCTTACTTCGACTTACTCAGATTTACAAACGTTTTATTATTATTCAGCCTCGTCTCATAAAATACATTGTCCGTTTGAACCGAAAATTATCGGCACGACTATTTTGACTCGTTAACACATGTATTTTTTTACGTGTTGAGATGGAAAATATAAAAAAATACTAAAATTATGTTTTTAAATAAACCTAACCGCGAGAACAGATGTATTTACGTCGAATAAAATATTTTTTATTTATTTTTATAAAAATACATAATATATCACTTTCTCTCTAACACGGTATACATATAAAATTAGTATAATTATTATCGTTATCGTAGAAAAAGAACACAATATTTACTTTGTTAGTATTTTTCAATATAAATAATATAGAATACACATATATTTAATATTTGTTTGGCACACAGTTTATCTCGAAGTCTCTTAGTTATCGTTTTGTAATAAAAAATATATTATATTAGTCGTTGTATAAACTCGGGAAGACTAATTAAAAAAAAAAAAAAAGACAAAAAAATTATAATAATTAGTAGAAAAAATAAATAAAGCAGCCAATTCTATGTTGAGCGTGGCGACGCGTTACTGCCGCCCGGGCAAGTATAATTTATGATAATGAACATTATGGACTAGGCCGACTGGGTTTCGGCAGCTTCCAGGGACAGAGCGGCCACCGAAGACTTGTGTCTTATCCGAATGTGCTGGTGCAGGTTAGACTTACGACTACAACGTTTCGGGCACATGGGACACGCGAACATGGGTTCTTTGCCGCACTCGTACCTAAGGTGTCGGTTGAGCGTAGCCCTGAACCTATACGTCTTGCCACAGTGGTAACAGGCCGACCTAACCAGCTGCTGAGGGTCCGGCAAGTTCCAGAAGTTGTCGTCTGCAAAACGGGGATAGAAAAAAAACATACCATCGTAAAAAAACATTCCAAATACATAGCAAAATAAAAAAAAATGTTCTCGAGGATATAAAAAAAAAAAACAAAATGAATACTATATACTCACGATGCAGCAATACAAATAACAACAACAACAAACGACAAACTGCTACTCGACTGGCGGCTACCACGAAGCTCGACTAATTATTACACACACATACACCACCACATGCTCATACAAGGACACACATCTATCTGCTTCTTGTTCCCTTCTTCGAGTATAATCTAGCACAATGATCCTGACGGTTTAGAACCTAGTATGTGTGTATGTGTGTGAATACTATATATTTTTTTTTATTAACGGCCGCCGCCGTGTCGACAAAAAATCAATTTTTAGTACTAAAAAAAAAAATTACTAAATACAAACCATGCACAAACAGCTACATCTGTTAAGTACAAATTAATGATTATTGATCGACTACTTCTATTTTAGTAATCATTAAATATAATTCTGTACTTTTGGTCTATAAAGACACAATCTTAAAAGAGTACTTATCGTCCGTCCTTTAAAAGGTTAATGTTTATTAAAATTCGCTTAATTGTTATATTTTTGCCAAAACTCTTTAAACGTGATTGGATATTATTAAACCGAAGGTGCAGAATTATTTAATCGGATCAAGGAATATAAGAGACGATATTCACATATTTCAACAACAACCATTTATACTGTTTTTTTTAATTTCGTTACCACAATTAAATTTGTTTTTATAAGCTATAGGATAAAATATACTATATTAAACTGATAATAATAAATATTATAAATAAACAAGAGTGGGTAATTATTACATAAACGATTATTGCATTTATCTGAGTTTTACAACTAACTGTACAAGACTAAGGGACTGCGATTTGTTTAAATAATTTAATAGGTATTTTATTTAATTAAAAATATGACTTTCTTGAAAATAAACTGCTGACATTAAAATAAAATATGTCGAAATATACGTGTGTAAGTTATTAAAACGAAAAGAAAAGACAGAAACGGATTGAAAAACATTTAGGAAATTTAATTTTCAACCGCTTCATTTAATTTTTCCTGTACATAATAAATATTGTAACCTGTAGTATTATGGAATGAAGTAAAAAAAAACATTTAAAAAATAAAGAGCATAAAAATTTAACGTTGATAAAAATTAATTTAACTTTTTTTTAATATGGAAATGTTATGTCAGATAGGTAGTTATAATTTATGTCTAATTTTATTGCACTAAAACATAACGTACAACTTGAGTAGTTAAATAAACACAACAATAAATCATTGATGATACGTAATTTTAAGTACTTAACTTGTTTAGACCCGCCACAATATCAATTATAATTTTAAACGAATAATAATTATTTAGTTTAATTACAATTTTTAATCACTTGTACGGAATTATTAATATCATTATTTTCGATTAAGTACTTAAAGTAATTTTCATTTATACAAAATTGCACCATTTTAACCCTTAATGTTAAATACAAAATAAAAATTTGCTATTCTCCCACCACCTAAAAAAAAAATTATAATAGTTTAAGGTACATAATTTCCTTTTGAATACAACTAATAAATTAAAATAAATAAATAAGTACCTATACAACAAAATTTAAAACCCTTTAAAAAAAATAATAATTATAATAAAAATAATTTTATAAAACAAAAATAAAACAAAAGATGCCAACCCGACGAGTAAAATATTTAAAAAAAAACAACGTATTTAACACCATAAATAATTATATAGTTTATGCTTTCAATTTTTTTTTTTTTTTATAGGTTAAGTTATTCTCTAAACAATTGCATTACGTTATCCATTCTTAATAGCTAACCTATATATTAATATTTATACATATATAGTAAAATAATAATAATACAATAAATAAATAATATATTTATATAAAAATATAATATATTATATATTATATATATATATATATATATATATATATATATATATATAATATTTGTATAATTTTTTTTTCCTGTTATACACCGCTTTTGAGCTATCACAATCGTCTTATTGCACTTTCAGATCGTTATTTCTGTGTTTGGATACATTTAAAAATGATATCTTAATTTTATAGTATTATATATATATTGATTTGTATTTATATAATATATATTCCACTAATTATAAAATGTTTAATAAAATCGTATTCGAGGTAACGGGCATTATAGATTTTTAATAAAGATTTTTTATTTTATGATAACATATTTATATGATTTTATGCAACAACACATATTTATTCTATATATATAATTGAATATACAATATTCCTGACAGTCAGGGGTGGATAAATATAAATATATATACATTGTATTGCACAGCTTTTTATTTTATTATCATATTCATTAGGTACCGCAATGTATCTATAATGTATTTAGAAGAGGAAATAAAGATTTAATTTATATTAGATTTAAAAAACGCCGTAATCAAATCAGGAATATTTTATACATACACTTAAAATTAAAATATCTAACATTAACCTTTACTTACTATACATACAAAGAAATTCAAATTTTGGGAAACATTAATTTAAGGCTTCTGCCTCGGTAATAAGGTAAAAGATAAAAACGTACAAATAAAATTTATAAAAAAAAAATATATATATATATATAATATATAGAATTTCTCAAATTGACACACCTTGACAAAAGGATAATACACAAATATACTTATTTTTGAGGAGGGGGACAGACGTTAACTCACCCGAGATCAGAATGTACAGCCGATAATCATTGGAAATGTTTTGATATGTACAAAATGTCGATTACTGTTACTTTTTTTAACTAGAACGACCAGGTTTGTCGCGCAAGGTAAAAAAAACACAAAATAATCGACGAGATGCGATAGTTAAAATCTTAACGACAGATAAACATTTTCAATAATGATATTATTATTAATATAAAACAAAGGATATACATAATTTAGTCAAAAGCTAGTAGGTGTTTAATTTGTTTTGTTTGATAATAGAAACGAATGAGGAAAACAATATTATTTCAAACATGAGGTCGATCATCGTATATAGAGAAGAGATAAACATCGATGCACACGCGGTCAATGATAATAAAGATAGCGAGATGAAGAAGGAGGAAAAAGAAGTGAAGGAGACAAGACAAACGAGCGACTAGACCTCTTTTGTCGGTGCTTCAGTGACAGGTGGCGTAGGGGTGGCGGCCAAGTTTAACTTGTTCAGGTGTTTGTAGTTGATGTGTGTCTTCAGGTTGTCTCTCCTGTAAAAATCTTTGAAACATATACCGCACCGGTACTGTTTGATGCGATCGCACTCGTAGCGTACATGCCGGTACAAGTGGTTCCGGTTCCGATAACTCCGAGGGCACTTTGGACAAGGGAAACGCGGTTCTGCGGATCCGTCGGCCGAAGAGGCGGTCACTGCCGGATTACCTAAGCTTTCGGTAGACCCTGTAGCGGTAGCAGCAGCAGCAACAGCAGCCGTAGTTGCGGCAGTAGTAGACCGTGGCTGCTGTGGAGTTTGCGATTGGCACGCCGAAGACGATTGCCTGCTGCCACTCGTGGCCAAGGTGGAATGGAATGTCTCGGAGGTGCTGGTCCAGTACTGGAGCCTGGCTTTGGTCAACGGGTCTAACATCATCCTATTGTATTTGTTTGCCGAAGCTACGAGATTCCGAGTAAACAAAACAAACAAAAAGTAGCAGAAATTAGACGAAAAATGTTTTTCAAAATAGGAAACAACAATAATGATAATAATTATGAACTAGTTTTGCCACAGTACATACACCGAAGCCCAGTGGGACCGTCCGCCAACAAGCAGTGTTATTCGTCCCGATAGGTCAAGTTAGGTTAGGTTAGGATCGTTGTTTTTAATTATAAAAACCAAACCTAACCTAACCTAGCCGATAAGTTACTCTCGGCGGTCACGTAGAACCGCTACATTGATCAAATAACGACAACCCGGGTTCACCGATATTCGTCAATTACACGCCAGATTACTGATGACATAACAAGTGAAACCGAGCGTTCGACAAATAAAAACAATTAGGTTGTATATAATTACCCAAAAACAAAGTAATTTCAAGTTAACACTTACCCGCAGCCGGTTTAATAATAGCTGTTTTATAACAATAGCACACCTCTTCCACCAACCACTTCCCATGCATAAATATTATTATTATTATACAATTAGAGGAACGTTTTATAAGCATAAAATAATATACACATAATTATGAGTATAAATATATACAAATAAAATTAGGTTAGTCGTAATAAACATGAGAGTTAGTAATATTTAAATTTTCTAAGGGAATTGAAAAATTTTGTTTCCCGCCCGATCGCAATGGTACATCTGTAACAAAAATCAAATTACAAATTAGTATGTGCGTCCGAGACCCATTTCATTTTGCTCGTTCCACAGGAAAAGTACTTGGCAAGTACAAATAATCGTCGAAAAGTTTAACCTACAATTTTTATTGGTACATGAAAAATAAAAAATTACATCAATGACGACCGTCCAGTGAACATTAAATCTTTAATAGGCGGATTTTATTAGTACAAATTTTCAAATATAAAATAACCGACAGCTACATTGAACGAAATGAATATTACAAAAAAAACAATATTATACAAAATATAGTGTAGAGTTTCAATCTGGGAAATGGCGACGGTGTTTGCTAATCGTGTGACGTTGTATATTGTATTTTCGAAACGATTTATAACTGCAATGGAAACAGTGGAAAGTCGGTTTTTTACCACATTCGTGTTTTCTGTGAATCAAGTAGGAACCCTTTGTTCGGAACACTTTGCCGCATATGCATTTGAACAGCTCTCCAGAAACTGTCAGAAACCATGCAAAACAAAAAAACAAAATCAATGACAAATAAAAATGCAATTCTTATAAAAGTTTTTTATTTATAACTCATGGATTCGTTGCCAAGACAATAAAAGCTCCTACCGTGGTACAAGTCATATCTAGTTGAAATGGCAGCGGGTTAGCTGTCCAAATTACAATGCTACATCGACTTTTAATAATGAGCTTTATAACCTAGTCTTAACCCTAATAGCACCAGGATGTTAGAAATAACGGGAACTTCCTAGAGCTATTGGGCAACTAAAGATCGTTAGAAGGAGAATAGAAGAAACTAGTAGTGATGTGTAACTTGTCCAGTTTAGCTTGGTTTTTGAGCGATTGTTAAGATTCAAAATTGTCAGGGTTGCGTTTTCGTATACACGACTCTTATTACCGCTTGTATGCACGACGTTAGGAAAGAGATAAAAGATGAATTGGATAGGGGTTATAAATACAGATTACAGGTAAAACATTACACTTGCACAAAACTACTTACCAGTGCCTGATTTTGAAATTGGGCAAAATGGGCTCCAGATCCTAACTTATATTTGGGGTCTAAAGGCAGTGTGAAATTCTATCATAGTAAACAAAAAACAGATGAGGCCTCTCTCTAAAATTAGGGGCCCCAGGGTCTAAATGATAAATATAGACCTAATATACCCATTTTTTTTTGTGTCAGGATCAACGATATATTTTAAACAGCTGAACCGATTTCTTCATACAGCAAGTCTATAAATCAGAAATCAAACCTGAAAGATACTTTATTGGACCAACAATTTAAAAAGTACACCTCTTCCCTCTCAAAATAAAAAAAAAACCCAAAACAAAATACATATTTTTAAACTTAAAAATACGGCGTGCTATACTTTTTTTTAAAGTAGTCAATTTAGTTCCAAATTTGTAAGGAATAGTATTTATATAAATTCCTAGAAGGGGTGAGACATTTTTTCTTTATTTCTCTATTTGGAGCAAAGTTTTAGGATTCAAGATAGGACTTCAAGATTGAAAATTAGACTATAGTAAATTTCTTTGTATGGGTGAATCACTGAACTGTATACATGGAAGGCGCATAATGTATATTTTTCATATAATAAAAGTGACCTGCCTCGGAGGCCGCCATTTTGAATCAGTTTTCTTATTTTACTTACCGTATCTAACTTTATTTAGTGATTTTCGATGATGGTTTCTCACTTCATATACCTAACCTAACCGGTGATAAAAGGTAATACGATGTTATCAGATTTTTATCATGAAATAAATGGTATGTTACACCGTTTTATCCATGACAGGACTCAATGAGACTCCATGGCGGAATCCGTGTGTCGCCAATTTATTTTCACCATGCGCTTTCCGTGTAAATAGTTCAGTGGGGTGAATCGACATCGAGTTAGTCCATCGAAAAATATTTTCATTGTTTACATTAAATGGTTAATTACCATATATGAGAAACGACGGCAACAAATTATAATAGACAGACGGTCAACCCGAGTCGTATCAAATGTAATACTCAAAATTATATAACTTGAGCACTTCAACCAATTCTTATATTTATAACATCTAAAAATTCACAACAAAGCGTTTTTTTAAAGTGATTTTATCACATTTAGATATAATTTATAAATAATCGCAGACAACGCGATCTCCCCTCCCCCCAAAAAATACAAATTCGTCCTTATTATGCCCCGACCCCGCTATGCTCGCTTTTTTAATGATTTATTAATTTTTTTCATTTCCAAGGTTTAATTTAAAAAATTTAATTTAAGCATTACATTTCCCATAACAACAAATATGTAATTTCTGTCAAATTTACTTCTGTGACGGTTTTACTCGCTTTTGAAATGTGGGATGGTAATTCTTACAATTTACATACCTATTATAAACTTGTTTATGTATTTTAAACACTTCCAATATCTTAAGTCCAACAAAAACAAGAACTTATTTTTTTTTCTATTTAAAAATGAAAAAAATATTGTAGTTTTTAATATAAAATTATCAGAAACTTAATTTTTTATTTAGTTTGAACATATTTTTCTAAGTGATAGTTTTAAAGGATAATTTTTTAAATTCAAATAGCAACCCTCAAGCTTTATTTACTTATTAAAATCAAAATTATGTAACACAAATAATGACTATTCAACAACTAATTTTGGTTACGTTTAAAAAATGTTTTTGGCAAAACAGTTATTCCAAAAAAAATTACTGTAACCTAAAATTTGATTTAATTGGTGTGTATATACTTTTACACATTTGATTCAGTTATAAAATAAAAACTTTGTCAATAACTATTATTATCAAATAACAATAGTTCGTTTATTTGTATGCATTAACACAATATTTATTATTTTTTACACATATAATGTACTGGATAAACAAAAGATATGCATTTACGTAAATGTTTTAAAAATATTATTACATTTTAAATATTTTAATTTAAATCAATTAAATTATTTAATAGTACAATAATTATTATTTGTATTCAAGATTATAAATTACATAATACATAATGCATAAGACTTTCAATTTAATACTCTGAAGGAACAAGTGTAACATTATCAGTTCAAAAGTTACTTAAGTTAGTAATTAAAATCAATGTTGTAAATATTGATAAATTTACAGTTTATATGTATTAAAAATCAGCTTTGCTTGTAAAAAATAAAAGATATAAAAAATTAGAAGTATAAAGAATTAAGGTCAGTCTCGTGACGACAATTTTAATTCGATAGGTAGGCGAATTTAATATTCAATAGGAACCCAAAAAATAGTTTCAAATGCAATTGTGTTTTACTCTAAATACTCTAAGGTTTTGTTCTCCCAAATTCTAACTTAAGTATTATCATCATCATCTTCCTTCAACATAAAGTAAATATTATTTAAAAACACAATTCAAATACATAATATTTTATAAAAAGCTCAGAACATAAGAAGTGCTTCGAGTACCTAAAATTACTTGGTACTTGATTTTTCTTAACAAAAAAAAAAAAAAATTAGTTACTTTTAAAAATGCTTATTTTTTTAGTATTTCTGTAATTTATGTCTTACATTGAATTACTAAATAATATTTACAAATTTTCAGTTTATACAAACCATTATGAAAACTTTCTCATAATGAAATCATAATTATGACGTTTCAAAAGAACGCAATGGTTTTCCTGTAACCAATTGATTGTCCACAGCATATAAACAAATAAAAGTCATACTGTTTGAACAGCACAGCGGTGTTTGCAATAAGTGTGTTTTTGCAACGCAATTTTCTGATATGCTTTATATGGACAGTGATCGCATTTGAATTGTGGTTCTTTTCCACACTCTAGTCTCATGTGTAAACTCAAGCTTGTTTTAGATTTGTAATTTTTTCCACAGGGGCACACCCATCGGCCGTCGATCAATTGAACGTTGTGCATCAATACAGACGGCTTCCTGCCTCTGTGCGCCAAAAAGAAATGTATACCTGGTGATAAACGTTAACTGTGGTTACCTTTTGTGTTTAAAATAATTATTTTAACGACAAGTTGTATAAAAGCTAAGCAAATAAATATCAAGAAGTTCGGGTCATCAGTCCATTAGCTGAGTACAGTTTTCAAGTTGTGTTAATAATAATAATATCTTAATAAGTTGTTGTAATTATAATTTATATAGTAAAGATATAATAAATAGATTTTATATCTATATGATAGTTAAATAATATATAGTTCTAAGCAACAAAGAGGCTAATTACTGAACTGCGTTGCACCGTACTAACTCTTTTTTAAAAACCTGACGTTTAGACAGCAATGCACTGTCACACTGTGTAGTCGTCTTCACATACCACTTGTATTGTACCTAGATGAGTACTTATAGATGTACCTATATTAAACTATAATCTAAATGTATCTAATATATATATGTATAAATAAAAACATTATTGACTAGAAATTATTTTTATATTTAATTCCCTTTTCCACAAATTCGAATAATCTGTTTACAGAGATATTTTTCTTGAATTGATTATAAAAAAGTATATATCACAAATTATTACAGTGGAAAAGTGTGCTGTTGCATTACAAACAAAATTGTTATTATTATTATTATAGTTTGAACATAATATAAAAAATATATATATATATATATAAATTGCAACAGTAAAAAAGACATTCAAGAATACATACAGTGTGAACAAGTTTTTTTTTTACAATTCAAAATATTGTTTATCACAAAATATCACAGCGAAGATAAATAAATAACATAGAAAAATGTCTATACAAAAAAAAAGGACTAGATTCAAATTGTTAACAATAGTCAAATTAAAACGCTTTTCCGATAAATACAAAATATAAATAAGATAACATAAAATAATTAATAATAAAATAACTCAAGCGTTATTATAAGTATCAATTTTTTTTAACAATTGTTTCGATTTAGTGGGAAACATGAGGATTTTATGAACACTAACGTAATGACGATTTAATGAACTTTTTCGGAAAAACATTTTTAAACAATAAGAACAACGAAAAGTGGGCTTAAGCTGGCACTCAAACTTCTTGTGTTGGTTGAGCCCGGGCTTGGCAGTGTATGTACGATGACAAACATCACAACTGAAAACTCCAACCGAAACTAGGAAAACAAAATGATTAGGAAATTTATTCAAGAATCATTTAGACAAATAAGGAACCGCGTTAAAATGAGTTTAAACAGCCGGAGATCGCAACAGGACGGTTAATTAAAATAGTGATTACAAGGTATGACATCTCTTATTTTAAGAGTCAACACAACCTAGTAAATACAAGTATTCAAAATAAATTTTTTTTTTTTTTTAGTTACAAATGAAAAAAACAAATTAAATTGTATTTTTAATAAATATTATACAAATATAATTATTTGTTACAACAATGGTTTTACTTTCAATTTTATACTTGCTATGTCTAACAGATAATATTCTCGTTAACTTATGAAATTACCTATACATGTTGAAGCTTCTAAAGAAAAACAACAAGTTTATAATTGCCGACAAAAGCCAAACATTGCCTTGAGTTTATCTATGCTGAAGTATTGTTTGTCGTTGGCAATTTAAAATGTGTTGGTTTTCATAAGGAATGATTAAGGTAATAATTTGCTAAATTATTTAGTTTATAATAACTGGAAATTCTAAAAATGTATAATTTTGTTACAAAAAAATATGATTAATTTGAAATTGTGATTTCTGCAAAAAATCCGAGTAGCATAAATTATATTATAAAAAGACCAGTTTATTAAAATTTGACTTAAGTCTAAACTGTTAAGTTACATTATACTTGTTTTTACCAACCCGGCACTAGTCTGAAAAATCGGAATATAAATTTAATGAGTATATTAATATAAAATAAGCTTTTTTAAAAAGTATTCTTTATCAGTTTTTTAACCGATAACGTATTTTAAATCAAAAAGAAGGTCATGCAAAACCGAAGAATAACAAGTTAATTTCTTTACAATGATTTATCACTATAAATTTATTTGTCCTAACCTTTCTTAACTTTTTTTATAATTTATAAATAGTGGCAAATTTTAATAATTTTACTTATTTCAAGTAAATATTCCTGAAAAATATAAAATGATACAAACTACATAATATTATTTCTAATATTAATTAATTAATTAATAGATAAATACATAAAATATATGCTTAACTTTATTTTACCTAAGCAATCTTCTTTTCTGTACTGATTTATCCACTTGATAGCTGTAAATTTAATTTTACATGACAGAAGAACAAATAATAAAATATTATGGTAAGGCAAAAAACAGAATTTTTGTTACTCACTTTTACATTTTTTTTCACATGTTTACTCACTTTTTGTAAATTTTTCTTCCTAAAACAACTGCTAGGTATGGCATAAAAGAACATTATGTATCAATTAGATACATTAGATAAGTATACAATTAAATACAGTGTTATTTAAGTATACAAACCAATATTAAGAATATAATATACCTTAATTCTAATACCCTTGGTTACCAATACTTACGTGATCAAATGTAGATAAATGTATATGATGCACATTATAATATATGTAAATTATCCGACTTTAAATTTATATATTTGATAAAAAATTAGTTTAAAAGAATTGGAAATCACTTTGTAACAAACATGCACTTAAACACCAGTTAACAGATTTTTTTTTAAAACACATAACATTGAAAAAAATTGATAAATTAATTCTTTACTTGCTGATAACGATGCAAAATTATCCCATAGTTAAAGAGTTAAAATCAAATTTATTTTAAACATTATCCTAAATTTTGTAAAAAAAAAAATTAACTAGAGAACATATTATATATTACTACACTTGGACATTAAAAAATAAACTTATAAAATAAATTGTTAAAAATACAATTGGCCAGATTCAAACAAATCATTTAAAAAAATTATTGCGTGAAGTGTAATAAGATTATTTAAACAAATTGCAATTTAAAATTAATATAAAATTTGAATTAATTATAATTTTTTTTTTAAATACAATTTAAGTATATTAAAATTGTAATAAAAAAATAACAAAATTGATGAACACTGATAAAATATGCCAATTAAGAATTAATTATATTGATAAATATGAAAATAAGCACAAATAGTATATTAATTTACATGCAAATGTAGTTGGTGTGATAATGTAATAATAACACAACGCTTAGAAATATGTAAAGTAAGGAAATTTACATAATTCTAATATAGCTGTTTCACCATTACATGAAAAAATTACATAAAAACCACGCTTACGATCAGTAGACACATTTTATCAGCTACATCAAGTATTTGAAATAACAAGAGAATTTGTTTCCATTCAAATTTAGTACACACTGTACTGAAAAATCTAAATTTGTAAAAGTAGAAGTATTCTCTTTTTAGTATTATTTATGCTGATTTTTTTTTTTTTTTTACTATTAATATTTTAACCTATAAATTTGTTATTGTTAAACTATACTATTAAATTAGATACGATACTGTTAAATTAGAAAAACGGCCATTAGTATTTAACCTATCGTGTTTCATTCTAGTAAAACCCAAAGCATAAATATTCTATTTTATATGTATTAATTTTAAATATAATTTACACTAATAATAATAAGTATTATTTACGCAATATTTTTTTGCCGTATTGTTTAAATATTTTGTATATTAATAAATTGTAGTTGGTTTTGGTACATTTTTAATAGAATCTAATCAAATTTCTAAAATTATAAATAAAAGTGCCAAGTGTATTAATATAATTTCATTGTCTCCTCAACAAACCTTTTAACACATTCTTGAGTTATTGGCAACATGAAGAAACCTGAAAGCGTAAGCCCTAGAAAATAATAATATACTATAATATTTAACTAATTAATTATCATTTAATATGTTATAATTAATAATATATTAATTTAGTCTAGTTTTATTTTCAATTTAAAAATTTTTTTATACCATATCTCTCAATAAATGGTCTGTTAAATGGATATTACATTTTTTTTACAGAAAATTCTTGGTTGTTTATTTAAAATTAAAATGTTATTTTAGTAGTACACATTTACGATAATATATTGGTAATTAGAGTTATTAAAAAGAACAATTTAGATGAATTCAATCAAAATTGGTTTATCCTATTAGAATAACTAAATAAATAGAAACTAATTCTGATATATTTCTGAAATTTTTAAACATTTCAAACCGAGGATATTATACTTCAAAATGCAATGAAAAAAGAGCACTTGCTCTAAATGAAGTGTATTTTTCTTTCATTTATGTTAGATAATATATAATAGAATATATATATATATATATTTATATAGAATAAAATAGAAAAAATGAGAATAGAAAAAATATATAATTTATAATAATGCTCATAGATGAGAATTTGGATTTTTTGTTAAATGTTTTTTTAACGAATAACATTAATGAATGTTATAAAAAACCGAAAACAAAATAGGTTATATTAAAATACATTTTTAAGTAAACATTAATATTTCATCTAAAATAAAACACCCTAGAATGACAAATATATTCGATAAATGTATTAACTGTTAATACAGAAATACTTATAGACAATTATATAAATTGTAAAAAAATCACTTTTTTGGAATAAATGAAACTGTTTGTATTGTCTTAAGCGTAGTCAGTAGAATATAAATAATTAAGCTCTATGATTATGCATAATAGAAAATGCAAATTACTAAGTAAGTCAATCAATAGTTTGAAAAATTTTAAATAACTTATATTGAAGCATAATTATTGTTTACTTTAAGATAGAACTATATGCATATATTCAGCATTAGAAAAGAGCGTAGAACTCTTTATTTCAATAATTAAATAACAAATTATATATTTTGATTATTAATTTTAATTTTCTGTAATAACGAATATATTATAATATAATTAGATAAATATATATTTTTTTAAATACAATATTGTTTAGTAAGAGCTTTAAAAGGTAACATTATTTTAGCAAAGTATATAGTTTTACAAGTAATTGTTAATAGCAAGCCATATATTATTAGCAAAGCAAAACTTACCAACAACATCTTCATATTCTTCATGGAGACAAGAAATTAAATATTCTCTAGTTTCATAACTTATCATATAATTATTTATAATTAAACTTGTGGCTTGGACATCATATTATTTAAAATTCAAATTTACAAAAAAATGTGTTGTAATTTATGTTTATTTAAACAATTTACGATTCAAATAATGTAAAATTTAAGTTAATTTCTAACCCAAAATATTCAATTCAAACATATTAAGTGACTATTTAAGTTATTGTAATATATTAAAATTAAATAAAAATAATATGATGACAACCATTAACAGCCAGGATAAGTAAATCGCTAGCACACCAAACAAAACAATATACTAGACTAGCGCATCAAGAATATGTAATCATTTTAGTTTGGAATTAGGGGGAATCTCCGGCTGTTTTATTTTACTTTTTGAGAAATTCACTTACCTCGCCTGTTAGTGATTTGAAACTTACTAGAATTGTTTGTTACCAAATCTGAAACAAAATAAACATTTACTGTAAATATTGTTACACATTGAATAAGATTAAATTTAATTAATATAATGGAAATATATTAATTAAAACTAAATATTAAAAATTAAAGCATATAGCAAAAAGCAATTTTTACAACATTAATAAAGTATTCACAGTTTGGCTCTATTGTTTGTAAATAAAAATTACAAATCATACAAATTATTCATTTATGAAATAGACAAGCTATTTCATTTCAATAAAAATCAGGTCAAATACTACGTATAGTATACTTAGTTGAATTTTATACATCAAATTTATTGAAATTATTAAGAGAAAGCCACAATAATAAAATTTCAGTTATAATACTTGTATATACAATGTCTTTGAGGGGCTAAAAGGTTGAACTTTAAATCTTGACTTTAATGCAGTGTTGCATATAAGTTTTATAGTTTTTCTAATAAATATAATACACTTGAGTAAGTTTCGGATATATCCACGTCACTAGTTATATGCCAACGTGACCATACTCAGTATGGTTACGGCAGTTGAACAGTCGAGACCACTATCACCCTGAAGATGGACTCTGCAAAGAGTCCAAAACGTCAGCATAAAACCAGTGACGTGGATATATCCAAAACTTTCTCAAGTGATATATTAATCCACGAAAGTTTTAACGCATTCATAAATATAATACATTTTCATCAACTAAATAAAAAAAAATTGCCTTTTAACCCAAATTGAGAAAGTTGTAAACGTCGGAAAAAAATTTAAAAAATGATCCTTTCAATAAATTTTACCTTAAAGTTAGTTTACAATAAAAATTCAATATTTAATTACTCTTAAATAAGTTGGCATATTTAAAAAAAAAACCTCATAAATTGAAGATGATTTAAGCTAATAGGTTTATCAGTTTTGATCGAATAATGTCAAATGTATGATAAGCTTTTATTTTAAAATTTAAATTCAATAAAAATTTGCCAAAACCCGACCACTACAACAAATTGTTGGTCCACTGAATTCATTAATAAATTAATTTCAAATTTTTAACAATTAATTTTATTTATTAGTAAAGTATTTTTTGGAGGAATATTATTAAATTTACCTATTTAAATATATCAGTTTTTTTTTTTAAATAAATAATTTTGTTCTTTTATTGTTATTTTTAATACTTGTGAGTACTATTGAGTTGGTTAATCATTAATATGAAAATTGAAAATCAGTATTACTTAACAAGTATTAGTTAACCGGCCTACTTGTATTTAGAATAAATTATTGCCAGGGAAAGTAGCTAGTCCACCCTGTCCTAAAAACTTTATGAAATACTTATTTAGAAGTCTGATAAAATTTTTAAAACAAATACACGATGACATAAAATAAAACCCTGGCTAGTAACTCGTTCAATTAATTTAGTTAATTTTTTGAAATGTATGGTACACAAATTTGCTAATTTTGTATGAAACATGAATGCTTTTTTTAATACAAAAATAAATAAAATATTATAAACCCTTCCCCTCCCCTAAGATAGAATAAACATTAATTATTTATTTATTTTTAGGCAAAGTTAAGGAATAAGAGACAATTAGATTACTTTTGAAAAATAATAAATATAAATAAATATTAATTATGAATATTAATTTATGAATATTTGCTTTATAATAATTTATAAAGCAAACACTTGGTGAAGATATGAAACATAGGATTAAGTGTGGTTGGATCAAGTCGAGAGAAGCGACAGTTGTTTTATGTGACAAGAGAATTACGATGAGACTTAAAGGTAGATTCTACATGAGTGTGGTGAGATACACAAATAGATCTAAAATAGAACAGAGAATGAGTTTAGTTTATTAAAAAAAAAAAAAACCCTATACAATATACAAATAACTACTAATACAAAAGAGAAATTTAACTTTATTGGACCTTTAATTAAATATTTAAATATACCTTCCAATTCAAACTCAAAATTCTATAAAGATATGGCTAATTCCAAATGATACAAAAAAAATTGCATTAGGTAGGTACAATATGTTGTTCCCACAGAATGTTATGTCAATATTTTGCACCTGTGTTTCAAAAGTGACATAAGTTTAAAAATTGACATTTTTAGTAACTATCATGGTAATATGTGGGTAAACAGTTCTCAAAGTATGCGATCAAATTTGAAAAAAAACTTTTAGTTGTATATTTTGAGACATTTAAACTTAACAGTTTTTTGCATTTTTCACAAAATATTAATTTTTGGCTTGTATCACTTTAAATATGTGTAATAGGTATGTTAATAAAATTAAAAAGCTTACCATTAACAGTTTTGTCCTTCGTGTTTTTCATGCCAATTGCCTCCATGCTATCTTCATTACTATCAGTTGTCATCTTCATGTAATTGAAATTTGTACAAATCAAAGTATTGGTAGAATTATAATATTCACTAGATTCACGTTTTATACTATTTTCAATACTAGAAATAGTCGATTGTTTGCATTCTTCTTTAATTATTCTTTGGATCTTACATGGTCTTTCTTGTTTCAAGTCAATGTCTTGTTCAACAAAGTGAGTGTTTTCATCTAGATCAGTATGATATTCTTCAACATTTAAATTTTTATCAATTACAGAATGGTCATTTTCATTTTTAGATTTCTTAATATACTGTATGACATTCATAGTAACATGATCAATCGTAGACATCTTTTTCACTTGTAGATTGATTCCCAGATTAAGAACATAAGTCATATCTTCCTTTGACGAAGTAGCTGCGCAACCAGAGTACATAAATTGAATTAACACTTCCAAAAAAAAATAAGGCACTTCAGCTATAGTGATGACTGGTTCTGGACTCTCGTGGTTTTCCAAAATTGTCTGAAACATAAGACAAAACGATTACTTATAAGAAAATATATTTAGGTAATTGTAAAAATCTGTTAATATTCAATTTGATCAAACAATATAATAGAAATTATAACTATTATTAATTTAACGAACCCAAGCCTTAACATTGTGTATTAGTAGGTTCAAAATTTAAATAAAAATACCATAATATGCTACTCAATTGAAAATTAAATCACTATTATAACAAATGATTTGATGCTAATTCACACATTTGTGAATAGGGTCAGGACTTCACGAGTATGTGGCTCGGTTTAATTAAGTACAATAAATCAACATACAAAATGCTGATAATTTATCAAATATTTGAGAAATATCATAACTTATGCTAAACATATAGATTCAAGAGAAAATTAGTGAACAAAAAAAAAATTAGTCAGAAAGACAAAATCCTATAGCGAATATTTATAGCTTTAAAATGCCAGAACAATATAAACCAATACAATTAAATCGACGTTAGTTTTCCCCTAATATACCTAAATAGCTAATTTAAAATAATATAAAAAATATAATTATCTTTTGGATGAAAATTATTGACAATTATGACTATGAAAGTAATTGACATTTTACCCAAGAATAAAAAACATGAAAAGTCTAATTTTTAAACACTCAAGTTGTCTCAATTCTAACTAAGTTTTAAATACTATAAAATTATTAAAGTACCTAGCAGAAAAAGTGTCAATATCCATTATACATTAATTATAAAGCAAAAACATGCTTACTGAGACTTCATTAATATACTTGTATGATTCAATATTGTTTATGGTTTTGTTGCTTTATTAGGTTATTCAATAACTCAAATGCTTATCTATTGATAAGGTTTGATAAAACATAAACAACTACTATTTATTCAACCATTAGGATCTACATGATGCTAAAACTATGAGATAATCTGGGTAACTTGAATCCATTAATATTTCATAGAAATAAATATAATTATCAATATGTACAGTTGTTACAGGTATACTAGCAGTTTAGTATATAAGGTGATAAGTTTGATAAGAACTAAAATAAGTAGTTAAAAAGTACCTGTGGTAAACTAATGCAGAAAATACCTAATGAATATAATTTTATACTGATCTTAAATATGTTGTATACATTTATTTGGCTCTATATTAAAAGTGAAACATTTTTAAAAAATTTCAACCAACGCTTTCCAAACTGAAAAATTTGTGCAGGTCTTTTAACTCCAATAGAAACCTACCTACTTAAATCACATTAGTAAACATAGACAAGACTTATTTTACAGAGGAGGACTGAAGTACTTATAATCGGCAAAGCTTACAGATAAATCTTAACATTGATAACAGCGTCATTGGTGTCACTGTACAATATAGTATTTGACAAATACTATTTCAAAACTGTGAAAAAATCAAATTTGAGAATACAAAAAGATAAAACGTATTGGTAGGTAGAAGACTTTCGTGGAGGACACATTGAAATCCGTAGTTTAATCTGTGTACGAACCGATAGGTTGACGACGAATACGTATCAAATTAATAATAGGAGAATATGCATGACCGATCAATACAACGTTAACAGTATATAATTTACATTTGAATTATGTACCTCTTAGATTGGTGGAGAACTCGAGAGAAGTTCATGAAGGGGAGAAGTTGAAGAACTCGAACCAGTATTAGTGATAAGCCTAGGGGGGCACGTCTATATGCTTTGGTGTGTTACACCGAAACGGGTTTCCCGCCAGCGATTTGACACTTACCGCCAAGAAAGGGCTGTTGATGGACAACACCAGTCGATGGACGCGTAGCCGGCGTCCATCCGACGACAACAGTGTACAGTCGGCCAACGAGTCGTCCGCGGTTAACGGGTTGTTCTGGCGGACAGCGTTGCGGACGCGGCCAGGATGCCCTGTGGATTTGATGGTGTACATGGCAACGGCGGAAACACGAACGCAAACGCGGAAACACAAAACGACACTCAAAACTGGCGGCGGCGGGCGGACGAGATACCGGTGGCCGGCGAAAAATTGGGAAAATTCGGACAACGGCAAGCGACACAAAAAATGGACCGGGGACACGGACGACCCGTCAACGCGAAACCGTACAGAACATGACATTGGAACGGTGGCGGAGGGAAGAAGCCGTGGCAGGGTGAAGGGACGCGGGCCGCGGGGCCATATCACAATTCACAGTAACGGTCGTGGAAGAAAAACCGCGTTCGTCCCACTGTCGGCCGGCTGTGTACCGAGGGGGCGCCCGTTGGGACACGCACGATTCACGGCGATCGCCAGGGTGGAGGCACTCGTCGTTTTCGGCAAGCCGCAACGTTCGCTCAGCGGTGCGGCCGCTTGGTACAATGTGACCAACCTACGTCGATGAGCACGTTGACCACCGTATCCGGTACCTACTACCGAGGTCAAGGTCTCGTTCGCTGTACTCGAGTGTGTGTGTGCGTGCATACAAGGCTTAAGTAGTTCGAAAAACAAAATAACTAACATTCAAAACAAAAAAAAAAAAAGGTGGTAAATAGTTCTGTCAAAACTTGTTGGGGAAGGGGATTTGCTTCCATTTTATATTTTTGTGTAGCGCAAGCGGCCGCTGGAAGAAATTCCGTGAATCGAAAGATATCATTACTTCTCGGTATTAGGAAATGAAATTTTTAAACGCGCGTTTTTGAAATGTCGACTGATATAATACAGGTTCCTACACGAGTAGCTAGTAACACCTAATAACTTGCCTTCCACAAATAAAAGTAATTAATTATACAATTTTAAAATGTTGAAACGCGCATTTCGAATCTCAAAAATCTATAATATTACGAAACTTGTTTTTTAATCAAATCATTATTTGTAATTTATATTAAAATACTAACCCCTGTTAGTATTTTAATATATGGCCATACTTTCTATAGGCAAGTGGTACGTGTCTATGACCTCCAAATAAAAGGGCCTCACAGCTCACTTCAAATACACACTCTTTATAGCTAAAATATTTATAGAAAAAAAATTATTCACGTAACAAACCAAAGAAAACATATTTTTAAGAATAAATTAGGTATTCAAAATATTCAAGTTAGTTTTCCTTTTGTATACCTAACAAATTTGTTAGGTACAATATACATTACCTGTAATAATAATAATAATAATTTCAATTTATAATAAATAAATATTTTATTTCTTTTTATTTAGTTAATGAACACTCGAAGGCATAAGGTACAGTTTGCTATAAGCAGATGTAAACAATAATAAAATAAAACTACCAAACCATAAACTAATCTCTTTCTCTAATAATATTTCTAGTTATGTGAAAAATATCATTATTATTTATATTATTATATGAAGCTCATGCCCTGTAAATAGGTTGGAATGTCGGACGATTTCTAGAGTTGTGGGAAAGAACAGGTACATTAATTAGGCAAAATAGAAAATACATTTTAAAAACCACAGATTTTTTTATACCTAGAGTTGCTGTGAAAAAAAATTGATTGAAATATGAAATGTGGTAAGTACTTTTATGGGCCAGATGGTAAAAATTAACAATATTTTTGTGACACCTACCATTTCAAAAAAAAAAATTTCATTACTCAATCAAGTGCTTCTTAGTGGTAGTAGTAATATAACAGTAATCGGGAAAAACAATTTTGGGGAGGTATTTTTAATTTTAATTTAATTTATGAAAAGGTGCCCCAAATATATTTTACCTTATGGCTCAAAATGCCTAAATCAGAGCCTGTATACCAATCATACACACGTAATAAATTTAAAAACTACCTTGGAATTTCTACTTGGTATCTTTTAAATATTTTCCAAAAATGTATACATTTTAAATCGAAAATTACTTGGGTGTACGTATTCAAAACTTGTTTCAATAATAATTATCACATAAATTATTTATGTGTTTTAAATACCAATTATGGTAATCAAAGCGTTTGATAATAAGAGGATTCAAAACCTCTCTTTATTTATGTTTTCTGCAAATTTTTTTTCGAACTTTACTTTTTATTTATTTAACTTTTATGTTTGTTTTTAAATAAATATTCATTTGTATACATCCTTAATCACAATACCTAGGTATGTATAAAAATACTTTAAGAATATCAAAGTATTAGATCAAAATCACGTACCTACACGAGTTTATTACTTTTGATTGAAAATAATTACTTTGTGGTTCATTCAAATGTGCGATCTACTAATGTAGATCCTAGCCTTCTTTTTAGGCAATTCATCGTCTAATTTAAAATTATAGAAAAAGAAAGGGTACAGTTTTGGTGGAAAACGAACATGACCGAAAATAAGAGGTCAAGAAAAATCAGGTAACACGACACAATGTAAACAGAAATAATAATAGAAGGGAAATCAAATATACGACTATACATACCTTAATCTACCGGCAATAATAACACAAAATTGGACGATGCGACTAGGTACCGTTTATAGAAGCCATTTGCAATTTACCTTCAAAAATATAATCTGAATCAAAATAGTAAATCTGGTTCTAAATAGTCATTTGTAATCGGCCTAAACTTTGCCTTTACAATCGTATGTCTTTCTTTTACTTTAACCACTGTTGTCGGTTGTTTCCGATTTTTGAACCAAAAAAAAAATGAAATACCATGATCCTAATCTCGTATGAATGTACAAAATATTCGAATGTCCTGCATTATAATAATTGTTTTAGAAAATGAATAATAGAACGCTGATACTGAGAGTTTCGGGAACATTGTTATTTGTTGTCACACATCACATTAATTTTAGAAACGAGTACTTGAAAATTGGATTGTTTTTTTTTTCATTTTAATCAACGGGCAACGGCCTTGATCGGTTGAAAGCAGATGGCTGGTTAAGTACCTACAACACGAAAATTATGGAATTTTTTTTAATTTAGCTAAAAATTATACAAAAAGAACAGCGGGTAACGGAAACAATTCTGTATTGTATTATTATTTTCCTATCAGATTTAGTACAAATACATCTGAGTGTACGAATGGAATATCACCGCTACATCAACACTATGATACTATGCATTCATACACTTAAATAATTTCCAAAACTATTATACTATATTAGATAGGTATGTTTCCCATGTGGCCGCGTGTACAAATTTATAATACCACAAACGGAAAGTCCAAACACAATTTCCATTGAGCTCCAACACAATGGCCAGTGTCATGCTACGACCAATAGTGTTATGCCAAAATTAAGACCATTATCATGAGTGTCCATTTCGGAAATATTTGTCAAATTATTTATTTTTACAAAACACCAACCCGCGATTAGCCGATCGGTAAGTACTTTGAGACAACCATTGTCTACCAATAATTAATAAAAATAACATTAATCTTAATTGCGGGACATTAAATTACAACCACAATTTACAACATCTCAGACAATGAATATTGTTAATATGTCAGGTTTACATGAATAAACCATTGGTGGAAAGTATTCTTAACTTTATGTAAATGGTTAATGGAGGGCCCGAAAATGCATGTGCCTGTATACTTTACCGAGTGGTCTGAGCTACGATTTTGAGTTCACTCGAGAATCCAAATTAAAAATGTATTTTTGCACACTTTGGGTTTCTTTTAACGTTTTTTACATTTGTCGGGAAATGCCCATCCCCAAAATTATATCAATAATAATTAATGAACATCGTTGGAATTGTCAATTATAAAACGTCTTGGATATTAATATTTAAAAAGAAAAATGTATATCTTGTGTTGGTTTCCTGTTAAAATACATCAATAATTTATAATACCCAATTGTAATTATATGTATTTTAACTTCGTGTTCTTGTGTAGTCATTTTGGTGCGGGTGCGTGGGAAGTCACTATATTTAAAATAAATTATTGATTTCGTTCTAATATAGGTTGTCCGCCGCCCTTCATCCCTCTCTCCGTCGCTGACATGATATTATAACAAATTACCCTCGTCCTGCTTTTGTAACTTGGTAAAAATAATATTTCACATTTTTTTCCCTTCATAATACAGAGAACGCAATCGGGTATTATAGTATACATATATTGACAAATATTAACAATTGACCTATTTAAATTTTAAACAGATATTTATAAACAAATATTCTGGATCATGCGGTGGTATGAACACCGCACAAACAAAATATGTTTACTCTTTAAATAAGTATAATAATGATTTTTCTTATACATTCACATTTTAATTTTACTTAACTTAAAGCATAGTGGTGGCGTCGGACATTTTGCAACGATAGGACAATTACATATTATTAATATAAATAATATACATTATCAATTAACTCAATTATTACCAAAAAATTACGGACGGGCCGCGGAAGAACTGGGCAAAATCAAATTTTATAGGGGCACATGCTCCACCTCATCCCAGTGGCGCATTTACATAGATCAGGACTCAGGTTTTATATAACAATGTCGTTTAACAATAAACGAACGGTTATACTCGTAGTCATTATTAATATTTGATATCATATATTATGATGTATCTGCAATTAGACGTCGTTAAATTAATCATAATTATTACGGTTATAATAATTGATTAGACTGAAACCTGTATAATCCTAACGACACAACAAATGTAGTACATGGTGCATTAACTGAATATTATATTATGAACTAAACGTACTTCGAACACCCATAACCGTATTAACAATAAATTAGTAGGTTACGATAAATTATTATGTTAACCGCTTGTATTCTATGCGCCAAGGTGACATAGACAGCTGTTTGTAAGATATTATGCCCTTT